AACGGGATTTATTACCTTTTTTTAAAGTCGTTTCAAATGCTTTATGTCCATGTAATAAGAGCGTTAAAGACGTAGAAAGAGGCGGTCTGGACGGGTGTAATGATTGTTTTTGTAACGCACACGTTGACAATAAACATGGCTAAGGCACTGCAGAAATGTGACAGCCCCAAAAGCGTCCTAAAGGCATTGTTATATTGCAAAAATAGGTTAGGTGGCAGTACTGCTACTTACTACTAATTAATAATCTCTCACGGGAAGTCAGTAATTTGTTTTTCATTGATTTTGAACAAATACTCTTTTTGAGTTAATACACTGTTGTATTAATATATGAGATTTGTAACACGCAATTATGTCATAATCTTTATTACCACCTCAGATTACAAAACAACCTTACCACCTATTTAAGGTAACGGTTAGCGCAAGTTATCAAGTTACGTAAACTGCACGTTATTGTGTCCGTGTACATAGCTGAGGTAAATTGTACACTAATTATTACACTATAACACCTTGTGGACCATTGAGGTTGTTAGAGCGATAGCGAACGTAATCCGGTTTTATTGTGGTTTGTAAACAGAATTTAGCTAAAGCTCCAGTTTGTACATTTGCTAGTTGTAGCTGGGAAGTTTGATATAGAATATTTAACCCGTTTATGAACACTAATTGTGTTAATCGTAAACTTTACAGTGTGATTTCCAAGTGCTTTCTGTGTAATTCCTGCCTTTTTTTACGGTGGAGAAATGCTTTATGCATATGTACGACCGAGTCTGGGGAGGCTCGGAAGTTATGTGTGATTCTACCCTATTGTGGAGGGCATACAGCACAAAAACTTCATCGGCATTGCCCGCAAGGCCGGGTGTTATGGGTGCCGTGGGATCTCACGTGTGGAACCCCACAAAACGTGGGGTTCCGAATTCTATACCTATTAGCGTAGGTGCAGTTCCCGCCTACTGCTTCTCAGTAGAGATGTAGTTAGTAGCAGTAGACCTCCTTGTGAAAGAGTTCGTCCTGGTAAGTACCGCCTTACTTTACCTTACCTATGTCTGCCAATAGTAATGTGACCATTACTGTGTTGCGGTGAGGTTGTCAAATTATGTCTCGGGGTGACAGGCGCAGTGGCAGTGTTTGCGGTTTAAAGCTCTGAGTGGCATTGCTACTTTTATGAACAGGCAAGTCGCTTACCACCAGGCTCACGACTTGTTCGCCAAGTGACTCGGTGTTATATAAAAAAAAATATCTTGGCCTTTTTTGCGACATCTGGCTAGTATATAGAACTAATGTATGCAAAATTTTAGAGTATAAATCATCCATCCATCCATCGCCGATATAGTCTTTTTTTTTTTTTTTTTTTTTTATTGTGACTCGGCAAAATGACTACACCGCGCCTGATGGAAAGTGCGAATACAGTCCAGAGATGAGAGTAACGGATGGAAAACACAAATATCTTCACTCCGTCACTATCATTTTGCCGGTCTGGCCAAATGCTTCTTCACACTACGTTTGAAGGACCCGATGTTATAGAGGGGAGGGAATACATGCGCCGGGAGTTGGTTCCACAATTTGATGGTTCGGCATAAGAACGAATTGCCAAACTTTTTAGTACGGGACGGTATTGAACTGACTGTCCAACTGTGGCAACGCAGTCCGGCACGGGTGGTCCGCTGATGGAAAGGAGAGGAAGGGATAAGGTTGAATAACTCTTCAGAGCACTCACCGTGGTACAGGCGATAGAATACGCTAAGAGACGCTATATCTCTGCGAAGCTGTAACGACTCCGCATGCTCAGTTACATGAGGATTGTTGACAACACGGAAGGCGTAGCTACAAGTCTACAGCGCGCGTCTCCTTTTTGAGTAGTGAAACTTCCAACTTGGCCCACAACTCGCTCGGCATGCGGGAGACGTGACCAGCTCAGTCTAATTTTTTTTTTTGTATTTATTACGCGATTACTTCGACATTTGTGAATCGACTTCTATAATTATTTTTTGTTTTGTTGGAAAGGGGGTACCGCAATAGTGGTCTCCTTCAGATTTTAAGAAAATATACCTTTCAGGATGGCAAATTAGAGGATGATCCGGGTTTCATCATATCACCACATCATCGATATCATCCGTTTTTTTATTATATCGCACTGTTAATACAATAGTGTATTAACTCAAAAAGAGGACTTTTTCAGAATTGATGAAAAACGAATTACTCATTTCCCGCAAAAAAATTATTAAAATTTATACGTTATAGTTTATTATAGACACATAAACAATTTCTCAAATGTATTTTTAAAATAAAATTGAAAAAGTAATTTTATGTTTTTTAATTAGGATTATTATAGCCCGAACTAGCTCACATAAAGTGTGTCTCTTTATGAGTTAAGTAGATATCTTTTGATTGTTTCTTACAATATTCTAAAAACGGTTTTTTTGACATGTAGAGAATCAAATTTTACGTTCAGTAATGATATAATATTAAATTTCACATATTTTGAGTTACAACACTATTGTAATAGCAGTGCGATATGTGTAATTGTCTGATTAGTTTCCTGTATCCAATTTCGGTGGCAATGTTTTATTATTTAAGAGTTCGAGTGTATTTATTATCTTGAAATATTAAGTAATATTTCAAATTTCTACAGTCGAATAATATGGAATACTTCATGATAATATTCTAGAATATTTGGATAATAAAAATTAGAATAGAAATTGGATTAAGAACACTAATCTAAAAATTACCCATAATTATATTTCAATGATCGTAATATCCTATTGTATGTATTTAATTTTAGACAAACCAGTTTGTTTCAAACAAAATGTTTTCTTATGTTATGAAAATACGGAGTGAAAAATTTATATGCACGTCAGAGAAGAAAATTATATTTTAGATCTCACAAAACAACGCAAAGCTCAGTTTTAGTATTCCGTAGGCGTGATCTAAAGGGAATAACATAAGCACGCGTCTTTATAATTTTAATATATTGCTTAACTTGTGTTACAAACATAACTTTTCTGTCGGCACTAATAATCTTAGGCGATAATGTACAGAAGCAATTGCTTTCTACCTGCATAGATAACATAGTTAAAACTGTACACGTTATTTCAATCTTCTTTACAACATTGTACAAGCAGTAATGTAATTACTGCGTTCCGATTTTGAAGAATAAATGTGCAGGTGATGAGTACAGTGGCAGTAGTAGTTTAACTGCCTCCGTGACCGAACGGTTACCATGCCGGACTGCCACGCAGAGGTCCCAGGTTCGATTCCCCGGCCGGGAGAAATAGTTGTATGGCCTACAATTATTTCTCTTGTGAGTTTGGGTGTAACTTGTGGTTGTCTATGTGTGTGTCCATGGCACCCGCAACACAGGGTTTCCCTAGTGCGGGGCTACGTTGAGTGTGTGCGTTAAAAAAAAATTAGTACTCTTTAGATCTTTGCGATTTAATGCTCTGAGTAGCACTGTTTTATGTGAGGCGTCTTTTTTTTATAATATCAAGTGGCGGGACAAACAAGTCGTGCACCTGATGGTAAGCTACACCCCTGTCCATAACAGTTGCAGTGCCACTCAGAGCTTTAGAAAGATCTGAGGGGCACTGCCACTGCGCCCGTCACCCTGAGACATAAGTTGACCAGTCCCATGAGCCTGAAGTTTCACCAGCATCCTTACCCTTCAAACCCGAAACACAGCAATGCTGACGTTACTGCTTGGCGGCAGAAATAGGTATGGTGGTAGTACTACCCAGTAGTACAGTAGCTACTAAAATTAACTTGTTGCTTACAACCAGGAGCACGGCTTCTTCATTTGGTATCACAAAAAGTAATAAAAATGTAATATTATCTTTTTCTTACATTACCTATCGAAAAAAATGCCTTCTGTAACAAACCTACTTTATGTAATAGACGGCCTTAAGCCAGATTGTTCCCTTTTAGTTTTCTAAGAATCCGCTAGATGGCATTGGCCCATTTTGCGTTATTTCTAAATCGCGGTGTTAAGATATTCCCTCGAATGGTGACTACTCGAACACAATTTTGTTCATGTGAAGAGAAACCTGAGAATTCAGAGAGCTCAGTAAGGCAACCAGAAGTTGAATCCCTTCCTGGGAACTGCTACCCGGATCTTCTGACATTTCGTACACTCATATAGGGTGAAAAACCTCATCTCGTGGAACGGTTTCCAGGAGTCGAGTCCCTTCCGGGAACAACTGCCCGGACCTTCCGCATGTAGGGTGAAATTGTATTGGCGACATACAAGGTGAAAATAAACACCTTCTGAACAAACAACAATTTGGAGTTTTCACTTGGCTGGATCTGTGTAACCTTATCCCACGGAAGAGAGAACCACCTTCCTTTACACTTATAAATTTTTCGACTTCTGCGTTTTTCCAGTTTTGCTTATGATATAAATAAATTTTCTACCATTTTCCTGGTATTAGTTAGCAAAGAATATTTCTTGCGATGACCTACGGCTCTGAGGCGTGGTCACTTACTAATGGGCCTCATAAGAAAGCTTAAAGTAACTCAACGGGCTATGGAGCGAATGCTCGACATTTCTCTACGTGATCGAATCAAAAATAAGGAGATCCGTAGTAGAACGGATTAGCAAGTTGAAGTGGCAGTGGGCAGGGCACATAGCTCGTAGAACTAACGGCCGTTGGGGCAGAAAGGTTCTCGAATGGAGACCACGAACCGGAAGGCGTTCAGTGGGATGACCCCCTACAGGTCCCCGATGAACGGATGACCTGGTAAGGGCGGCGGGCAACCGATGGCTGCACGTCGCGTCCGATCGGCTAGTCTGGAAATCTTTGAGGGAGGCCTATGTTCAGCAGTGGATGTCTTCCGGCTGGTATGAGAATTTCTTGCGATCAGGTACACTTATTTTAATGAAATAATAATAATAAGTGAAGTCGAATTAACATCGGTCATATAATAAATTCAAGATTGTGCAACCTTAAAAATATTTGTACTACCTACCTACCATGGGTTGTAAAAATAAACTTTTAATCTTTCATCAACAGACGATAAATTTCGACTCTAGCCGAGGCGGGATCTCGCTGGTCACAGAGAAGGCTGTCCATAGTAGCAGTAGGCTCTTGGTTCAAGCCGCACGCACGTCTGACGCTGGCGCATATCAATGCGTGCCTGACAATGCGCAGATGGCCACAGTGCGCGTGCACGTGCTTACTGGTAAGTATTTTGATTAATTAACCCTCCTATTATGTTAGTTGAAAACCCAAAATTACAAGTGTAACAAAATCACATAATGTCAAATAAAGTTTATTTTATTTTATTTTTTAACCGATTTCAAAAAAGGAGGAGGTTCTCAATTCGACTGTATGTCTTTTTTTGTATGTATGTTACGCGATAACTTCGGTATTCGTGAACCGATTTTTATGATTTTTTTTTGTTGGAAAGAGGGTACCTCCATAGTGGTTCCATTTAATTTTGAAGAAAATCATTCTCCTCTAAGGGTGGCTGCTCACTCTTAGAGGAGAATGATGAAGATTCATTTTCATAAATAGCGCCTAAATTTTATTATAAGGAGCAATTATTTTAATGGTTGATTTTGCTATTGTCCAGTGTAAGGTGCTTTTCTCCCAAAATAGTTTGAGTAGTGAGAACCGCATTTTTATTATCGTGTGTCAAGTCCCGTATTGCGCATTTTCCGGTAACCGATTTCAATAAAGTTGGTAATTATATGTAATTCCACGTACTTTTGAGGTCGGTTGACCCTGCGCACAACATTCAAAAGGTCATATTTTGGCTAAACAAGGTCGATGTCGAGAAGCGCCATCTGCATTCAAAAATACTTATTTATTATGTCACTCGGGGATGGACATGAGTGGTCTTCGTGATATCGGGACGGACGCTTGCTAGTGCGCTTCGGACGTACTAGATGGGGTTGACACGCTATAATATCAGGTAATTATATATGTAATTTAATTCTTATTTTTTACTACAGCACAACACAACTTTACAACCTCATTAGAAGAAATACATAGTAAAAATACTGTTCGTACGTGTATGTAGTTAATTAAAGTAGAATCGAACTAAAACATAACCCTCTAAATAATTTAAAACCATAAAGTTTATTTTTATTAACGACTTTTTTGCTGTAGCGCCTTTTTTTGTTTTGTTCCTTTTATTATCAAACACACACATTCAACAAACACACTCGCACACACTAAACGTAGCCCCGCACTAGGGGAACCCTGAACACTTCACCGGTGTCATGGACACACAGATAGACAACCACAAATTGTACCCAAATTCACGAGAGAATTGAATATAGGCCATACAAATATTTCTTCCGGCCCGGGAATCGAACCTAGGACCTCTGCATGGCAGTACCTCATGGTTACCGTTCGGCTACGGAGACAGTTATTAAGAAATTTTACGCGTTAAGAAATGTACTTCATCTTACAACTTGACTCATGTAAGCTCTTTACTTAGATAACAAAGGGAAACATCCGAAGCAAAGTTCCCACGCCGCATATTAATATTGTCTTCTCCATTATCTCTTTCGTACTTACTTCCATGATGACATCGTAAACCAAAACATCGAGCAAGCTCCCTTATCATCCTCAATGATACAAAGTACTGTGGGCAAGAAATATCCCAAACATTACACTAATTACTTAAATTATTTAAGTAAAGGTAAAATGTTTACGAAATTTAAACAATATTTGTTAACATTCGTTTAAATATAAAAACTTTCATAAAATAACTCTGAGTTCACAAAATACAACTTATTAATTCATTTAAACACAGGTAATTAAAAGTTGATACTAACAAACTAAATGTAGCTTCACTATAAATTTCAAACATATTTATAACTAAACTTATTGGAAGCATATTTTCTATTTACAAACAAGAACTATCAATAACAAATCAATAGGCTAATTCCACTTGAAAAGGTACAGCAAGTTTTTTTTTTAATTATACCACTTAAGACAACAGTCTGGTATATATTTTGTTTGTCCACTGTTTCTTATCGAATTCTTAGGTTTTCGCGATTGTTACACATAGGAAATGAAACTATTTTTCCGCATTTAAATCGCGTATATTTGTTTTTTCAAACAAACCGACGTTTCGGGCCCTTTACAGGTCCCATGGTCAACCGTGACCATCAGTTTCATTTCCACTGCTTTTTCTCAAAATATTTGACAGATAAAATTAGTGCAGACAGTGTCCAAAACTTTGACAGATAATAAGTGGAGTCAGTGTTCAAAACTTTGACAGATAATAAGTGGACACAGTTTTTAAACTTTGACACAATTAATGGAGACAGTGTCCAAAACTTGACAGATAATAAGTGGAGACATTG